GATTGATCTCTAATATAAACAGAACGTCCCCTAATAGTAGGCATACCTTCGCGTGCGCGAGTTTCATTGACTCCCGAGTTATTGAACGTGTTCCATCGAACTACCGGACTCGTTGTCGCGACAACGTTGCCACCATGAACACCGAAAAAATGTTGAGAAAACGAATTCGATGGGAAGACATTCCTACTTTTATACTAGAACTATCAAACGAATCAAAATTACCACTTTTGATTTCTTCTTTTTGCAATTATTCGAAAGATAACAAATGTTTCTCTGAGAAATTGATAAAGAAATTGATTTAACAATACGCAAACTGAATTGTAAATCAATTGAAATCGCAATAGATGCACTCTTGGAGTGTCTATAGAAAACTTCCAAAAAGTCAGTATGACTGTTCGGTAGTTCAGATGTTACAGTATATCATGCGATTCCTATTCGAAACCTATCCATATTAATTTATGCGTAAGCTAGATTATAACCACGATGAATTTTGGGCACAGTGTTTCAGAGTAAGCGGGCGAATTCAAGGAGTGCACGTTCTCTCCCGCAGACTTCTAGCCGAAAATTGTATTCCGCTCTCGTCCCTGTTTCGTCCTGTCTCGAACCAGCGGCTCGCTTGCGAAACGCGAAACCCGGTTTCACAACACCGCGGCGATCGAGCAAGAAATATCATCAGACCGAGAAATTACTTTTACTCCGTGCACGGATGGGTCGGTCCAGGGGTCATGTGTCCCTCGACCACGTGATCGGTACCAAAATGTCGGCAATTAACATCCATCCGCAACACACACACACACACACACACACACACACCAACATTAGAGCATAATTACTGATCAATCGTTTGGGGCCTCGTTCGAAACTAAAATTTCGAAAATATGAAATATTTGGTCTGAACGAATTTAATCGTCGTTTCAAATCCATTGAATGTATCGCATGATCAAGAGCGGCGAATTTGAACACAACATTCGTGCCCGGAATAACACACGATCCGATTAGTCACCGTTGTCAACGATTGTCAAAAGGTCGAAGCTTGTTACGTACAAGGTGGCTCGAAATCAATTCATCCCGGTGCCTGGGCCGCGAAACTTTTCCGTAATTTCCTGTTGGAAATCGTTTTGCGCGGTCTACTATGGCGAAAAGAATAAATATTTGCCGATGGTTTCATCGCAAAAAGAAAATGGCTACCTAGTTGTCGCGCGAATGACAGGTCGATAATATTCAGCGATTGACCGTAACAGCTGTTTAAAAACCGGGACGGTGACGTATCGTTAGCGAATCGAACAAGAAACAAGAAAAAAATTAGGAGGAAAACGGTGCGCCTTATGAACAAATGGAAACCGGTCTTGAAGCACGTAACGCGAGACCCAGAGTTGTACGGAATAACGAGAAACATCCGCGACGCAAGATTTTAACTTTCCCTTTGTCCTTGTTCCATTGGGGATCGAGCACGAATCGTTTACGACTAAAGGATTTCAGGGTTCGAATATTTCAGAAAATTTCTGGTTAATTGTAATCTCTAAATTTGATTCATAATAAATATTTTTTTTAATCGCTGTAATATCCTGATTGGAACGAACAAAGGACAAGATATCTACAGACTCGTAGGCTACAATAAAACCTAACCTAAAAGCAAATGAAAAATAAAAAGAAATATAACACACAAGGTGTACAAAAACGATGTAACTAAAATTAAAAGGAGTCGAAAGTGTAAAGTAAATGAAACATACAAAAGAAAGGGTATCCAAAAATCAACAACCAAAAATTCAAATTGCTGGAAAATATCAAACTGCTCCGACACGAATTCCAGTCGGATAGATTAGTTCCTCCGTGACGGCGTTGCATCAGAGAAAGAGCTTTCAAATCCACAATAATTTCCGCACGGCGCGCTGTCAACCTGCGAGAACCTCGTTGCTCGTAATACAGACACGGAACAAACCAACAACGCTACGCGTAACAAAAAGAGACGGCGAGAAAGAGAAAGAGGGAGTGAGAGGGAGGGTAGGAGATAGAGAGAGACAAAGAAAGAGATCGGCTAGCTAAGAGAAACGAAAGGGGAGAGAGAAAGAGGGAGAGAGAAAGAGACAGAGGAAGAGAGAGGGCAATAAAAAAGAGAAAGGTATGATAATTACCAAGGAGTCGTCCCCATTGTCAGCGCTCATAGCCCACCGCTAGCGCGAGGGAATTCGAGCTCGTCGTCGTGGTCGTCGTCCTCGGTCCTCTTCGCCGCCCTTCCGGTAGTACAACCACGCGCTCATCATTCTGCAGCTAATCCCAAATCCGCGGTACACACGAACGACTCGTCAGCAGACACCGCCGGCACCGCTTCGCACCTGTCATCTGGCATCGCAGCGACGACGCGGCTCGCGGCACAGATCGCAAACGCGGGGAAACCGAACGAACGTAAAATAGAAAGAGAAGGACGGAGTCGTTAGAAAGGACGAGGATCGTAGAGAGAGAGACAGAGAAAGGGACAAGGAGAGCGAGGTAGAAAGAGAATAAACTGGGTAGACTGACAGAGAGAGAGACAGGACACTGACACACGAAACGTCAACGACACTAGCACGCCGTCGTCGTACCCGCTCGTTCTCACGCCAAGAAACAACCAAACTCGGCGAGAGCAGCAGCGCTTTTTGAATCCACCCGTGAACACGCGCCCCGCACTGTGTACGCCACTTACGTATTCCCTCCCCTTTTTTTTCTTTTCTTTTTCGCCGCGGTTCACCGGACAAGCGGGCAGAAAAGGAAGCAGGATCGAACGACAAAACTCGATCGCGGCCGAATGCGAATGCACAACTCTAACCTCCGCACAGGCTCACGGACAGCCACCAACTTCCAGCGGCTGACACGGGCTCAACGGCTCGCTAATGCCGTTCCCTTCCATCGCGTCCGTCCTCCCCCCACTCAGCCGCCGCTGCCACTTACACACTTGCCGAGAATCGGACGGAACGAACAAACGAATGGTCGACGGACAACTCGATACCTCGCGTTTACGTACGAATTATCTTACCCGTACGTACGACCCGTTATCGCTTCCCGCGATTCGAAGGTTGCCCCTTGCATTTCGATCGATTCTCGCGGTTTCGTCGTACATCGGCCGGCCGGACGGCTGAACGCAAAGGGGAAGCACGAGCGACGCCGCCGCAGCGCACCGAGGATTCCCGCTATGAACGCCATATTGCGAGCGGCAGGGTGCGTGCGCAGCCGCGCCTCGCGTTCAAGTAATTCGAACGGCGGATTTTAACGCGGCATTTATGCCGGCCGTTGTAAAACACCGGCGATATGGATTTGCGTCATGCTTACGGCCGGGTGGAACGCAACATTTTACTGCGATTACCGACCGGATCACGAATACTAATATAACGGCGATTAGACTGGAGTTCAAATAGTGGCGGGCACATGGATGATTACATTCAAGGGATACAGTTTTGAGGAAGTTATTCCTGAGAATAAACAATTACAATGAGGATGATTAGGGTTGATGAGACAGCGTTGTGAGTTTCGGAATGATGTCAGAGTATTTCTTTGGTATTGCAGTTTGTAAAAATTACTTTAAGTACAAAAAAATTAAAACGTTTCGATTGTCAGCATGTTTGAATAATCTTATAGTCATTTCTCGTGACGTTCGGGTTCCTTTCTTTTTTCGAATTTAGAAAAGAAAGCAATGTTATTCTTCAAGGGTCTTGAACCGAAAATCGTATAAGACGTTTTCAACTTAATTTTTTTTTGTGAACTGCTCTCGGGATGATGACGCTGGGAGAAATGGCGGATGCAGAAGGGTTCGGTGGCATCGTATCGATCGCAAGAGCAGGGGATGAAATAATGAAAACATGAACGAGACGCCGCACATACACAATGAGAGGCAACAACACATTACACGATAGAGACAGAGAGACAGAGACTTTTTCACAACATTTAATAAAACGCTATCAACTATGTATGCCTTTTTTTACTCAAATACTCTAAAAGTTACTTACATACGGTGTAGGTTTATATGTATACTTTTAATGTCGGTTACGGAGGTGTCACATCCCTCGCAACGCGTTGACCTGTAATCCGTCGAATTTTTCTCATTATGTCGTTGTCTAACGCGCGTTTCCTCCGCTAAACATCCCGCGTCCCTGTTCCCCTCGTTTTCTTCTATTTTCGATCATGTGAAGACAGTCTCGTTAGCAATTGTACACTGACAACAAACGTAACGATTTCTAGGCACCAATCAGCGACGATGAACACAGTGTAGAACCCACGGAAATAGAAGAGCGACAAAGGTGCTCGGGAGCTGACACGTCCAGTAAAATTATGTATAAATTTTTTTGCTTTTTTTCCTTCTTCTTTTTCTCCTTTCTGTTGCTTCCATTTTAATACTATCGTTTGTTTATCATTGTAATTCCCTTACGTGTTAATATTTCAATTAATCGTGGGGTATAGCGATCAACGTCCCGGGATGCTAAACAGGTCTGAGTCTGAAAATCTACAACAGGTGGATAACAATGGGCGCGCGCGTGTGTGTACCGTGTGTACGTCTGTACATGTA